GATGGACAAACAAAAATGTACAACCCAAAATTTCACAATGTTAGAAACCATTAAAACATCAAAAAAAAAAAAAAACACCACTTAGACTCTCTAAAAAAAAAAAAAATCTAATTTTCATATAATTATTGTATTTCTTATTCCTATTCTTTTTTGTCTGCCCATCACACTTACAGAGCCCCGGCAATACAGAGTCACCTTTATATTCACAGTGACTTCGTATGCACTGTTTGCATAATGAAGTTATTCTGCACTGCAGTATTTAGATAACTTTTTCTGAACTGCTTTTATGTTTCAATGGACTGCTGATTCATTTTTACAAATTGGGAATATGATGACACATTATGGTTACAACAAAAAATGCAAACTGGACAAATGTAAGTAATATTATGCAAGTGACATAAAGATACATTAGCTGAGATCAAATGCACCCTGGCAAATGAATGTTAGCTGATCAATTGAATGTTTACGGTGAATGCATAAACTTTAGGATTGTTTCTGTGAAAATCATAATTTATCTTCAATTCAAATTTATGAAATGTATGTGGACACAATTGTTTTATTTTTCCTCTGAGACTCCTGAACTGTGTGTGGACCCGTTTTGTGGACTCCAGGCATCACCAATGACCTGAGGACTGCACTCAGCCAGCACTTCCCAGAGGATAGTTGTTGGAGGGTGACCAAGGAGGTAGTTGGGGACAGGAAAGCCTTGACAGTATGAAGGAGAACTATTGGCATCAACAGTATGACTTAGCAAAATATCAGCAGTCCACAGGTTGGGACTTTTAAGATCTATTCTCTTAGCAACTTTCAAGTATACAATACAGTATTGTTAACTATAGTCACCATGCTGTACATTAGATCCCCAGGACTTATTCATCTTGTAACTGAAATTTTGCACCCTTTGACTATCATCTCCCCATTTCCCCCTCCCCTCAGCCCCTGGCAACCAGCATTCTACAATCTGTTTCTATGAGTTTGGTGTTTTTAGATTCTACATATAAGTGAGATCATACAGTATTTGTCTTTCTCTGTCTGACTTATTTTATGGATGTCCTCAAGGTCCATTCATATTGTAGCATATGTCAGGATTTCCTTCCTTTTTATGGCTGAATAATATCCCATTATATGTATTTACCACATTTTTTAAATCCATTCATCTGTTGATGGAAATTTGGGCAAGATAATTATTATTTTTTTAAAATTTAGTTATTGTTTTACAAATTTATACTCTGCCTCACTCTTATATAAATTAATTTGAGAGAGAATTTTCATTTAGTTAAAAAGAGAGAAAAAATAAAACAACAAAACTCACTTAGAGTTAGCCTTACTAACTTACTAAGTTAGCCTAACTAACTTACTAAGTACATTTTGGATGTGTGGTTTTGAAAGTTGCTAAAAAGAAAGTTTTAAATTAACTTCACTACTTAAGATCTGAACCTAACCATTTTCTGGGTTCAGGAAGCTCTTGTCTGATGAATTATAGATATAAATAAATATTCAGATATGTATAAATGTATCTATAATACAGAATCTTTATATTATATGTCTCCTGTGCTTTAAATAAACTAGATATATGAAAATCAAGGATGACCCAAGAAAGAAATAGAGGTAATTAGTTATCTAATAAAATGATTCGTAATAAGATTTATTTTTTAAGCCTGTCATGAATTTGTTCAGATTTCACTTATCCTTATGGAAATCTGGTTTATACAGTTTCAGAAACATATCTGAAACATACCCACTGTATCAAATGAGACACGACTGAGTTATTCAACTGCTTTCCCCTACAGGTTGGGAAAGAGAAATGTCTGTCAGGAAGCTTGGGAAAAGGCTGGAGACCTGCCCTCTCCAATGGAGCTGCCTCACGTGGTCCTACTCTCTTGAGGAGCCATGGACTTATGTTGGGGACTCTGACCCAGGGTAAGAAAGAGGCAGGGAGTGAGGCACGATTTAGAAAGGGCACCATTTGAGAAGGCTCAATTCCATCGTTCTCACTGCTGAGTCTTTTGGTTCGCTTCTAATTGACATAGTCCAAGGTGATCATGGCATTTGCACGATGTAATGAAGTGGCAAAAGAGCAGCAACACCCAGTGTGAAGTGTTGCCTGTCTGGGTCAGTGTGGATTGGTATAGGCTGGGGGTTAAATTCCAGGCATGACTTAGGCAAAAGAGTGGAACTAGATTGTTATCTTACCCACTACACACTGTTCCTCAGTTTTGCTCCTACAAGGAAGTAATAGGGAGGTGGTAGTGACATGCTATGTATTTAAAAACATTTTTTATTGAGACATAATTCATATGCCATAAAATTCACCCTTTTAAAGTATATAATTCAGTGGGTGTTAGTATATTCACAAGGTTGTGCAGATATCACTACAAATTCAGATCTTTTTATCACCCCCAAAAGAAACCCCATACCCACTAGCAGTCATTCCTCATTTCCCTCTACCCTCCCCCCACCCAGCCCTAGGTAGCCACACCGTCTCTCTAGAGTTGCCTGTTCTGGACATTTCATATAAATAGCATCATACAATATGTGGCTTTCGTGTCTGGCTTCTTTCACTTAGCGTAATGTTTTCCAGGTTCATCCATGTTGTAGCATGTGTCAGTGCTTCATTCTTTTTTATTATCAAATAATATTTCATTGTGTGCCTATATCACAGTTTGTTTATCCATGCATCAGTTGGTAAACATTTGGGTTGTTTTCACTTTATGGATATAATGAATCATGATGCTATGAACATTTGTGTACAAGTTTTATGTGGATATATGTTTTCATTTCTCTTGGGTATATACCTAGGAGTGGAATTGCTAGTTCATATGATAACTCTATATTTAATTTTTTGAGGAATTGCCAGATTTCTTTCCAAAGTGGCTGCACTATTTTACATTTCCATCAGCAGCCTATGAGGGTTCCAGTTTCTCTGCATCCTCACCGACACTTGTTATTGTCTCTCTTTTTGATTATTGCCATCCTCGTGGGTCACGCTATGTCTTCAATGAACTCTCATACACTTGGCTAAATATATATTTTAAGCCAATTGTTAAGAACAATCCTTGGGAACATAACAGGCTTGTAAAAGTTTTCTAATAGTGCTTTCCTAAAGGATCAGAAGTCTGCTGAGGCTTTGCTAGGTGGAATCTGGCTCCAGAAAGAATAGCTTTTTTTTTTTTTAAATATCCATTGGGTTAAATGAAACAGCTGGTTTAGGTCAAAATTGAGAATGAGTTTCATGAACTCCAAAATATTTCCAATTTTTCTGTTGTGCAAGGCCTCGGATTGAGGCCTCATTGTGCATTAAGGCCTTTTTCTATCAATGCAAGTATAGTACTCTTCTAGAATGGAAATAATTACAAAGGTGATAAACTCTTTTATTTTTTTTTTTAATCCAGTGTTGTTATTTTCATCATTACTGAGCTGGCATGTGTAGTAATATGGAAACTGTTTGCAAACATATATTCCCCCAAGAGGTTCTGAAGCTTAAAAAAAAAAATCCAGCTTATTAGTGGATGCTCCTGTTTCTGGCTCCCATTTCAGTGAAGGGGTGGAGTCTTATGAAGATAATACACCACACATGAAACAAACATCCTCTTCAAAATGAACATACTCTTCTATTTCTTTCAGTGCAAAAGGAAGGCGGGCATTGTCGGCCAGATGTGCTGAACTTTCTCATGCAGTCACATTCTAAAACAACAACAAAAAATTTGAGTAGTTGCCAGACATTTCACTATTTTCAAAGAGAAAAGCATGACCTAATATTGTTATTTTGTTTAACATTTCTGTTTAATGTTAAGGT